GATTAAAAGAAACTGAGTCATTCTAAGTAAGACTATTGGATAAAAACAGAGAAAGAGACTGTTCCCTCTCAGGTAGCACACAAGTTGGAGGCAGCGGTAACTTGAACAGCCTTCAGTCTCCTGTGCTAACCTTTCTAACTAGCTGGCTGAGTGCCTAGGGCCACTTTTTATTTTCTTTACTAAGTTACTTTATTGTGCAAACTGGAACAGTAAGTAGAACAAGGGACTGGAATGCTGAGCACTTTAGCCACAAGAAAGAGCCTGTTGATAAACTAAGATAAAAATGTAGATGACAGGAGGGAAAGAAAGATGGGTGGAGTGTGGGGGAGGAGGAGCTGCAGCGGGGTGGATGGTGTTGGAAGGGGCGAGACACCGGGCACAGGCTCATCAGGGGGCTGAGTGAGAGGGAAGAGGAGGCCGTGCTGAGTGTGACAGGATGGACAGTATTTGCCTGCGTTGGTCCAAGCCTCGTGGTGTTCATTTCTTTAAAGCCAGCCGGTCGCCTCACGTTCGCTGTGCACCCACCAGTCATTTCGGATGCACGGGTGTGTCCTCTGGACCACACCCAAAAGTGACTGCTTAATTTAGAGGTTGTGCAAGTCTCTCATCAAGTGAGTGAAAAATACTTGTGTAGATTTTAATATTCAAATATTTCAGCCAATTTATTTGAAATATGAGTAGACAATATCATATTCAAACTCTTTTGTCACACAATGCAACTGTCACAAAATGTAACCTGCTATGTTCCCAAACAACTAATTTCAAAGTAATAAATAATCTCCCTTTCTGGCAAGAAGCACAATATGAGGCATGATCGGAAAATATGGTGAATGATAATTACAGTAAAAGACATTAATTCTCCTAAAAATATGCTTCTCATTCCAAGCATACTTGTCTTGCGGTCCTTGGCACTTCCTGAAGCAGTTCTAGAAGTCATTTATCAGACTTTTCAGTCCCCTGTCTGTCTTGATGCCTGAATCCATTCAGAATGTTTACCTAATCACAATCATTTTAGTTTTGGAGAAAAGCCAAAGTTGAAAGTACCAGATCTGCTGGCAGTGGGGGAGGGGGACACGTGGCACTGGCTCCCACATGCTTGCCTTTGCCCCAGATGGCACCCAGGGGCAGCCTCATGGTACTGTTGAGCTCACCTCCTGGAAACACAACAGAAGCCCCAAGAATTGCTCCTCAAGTGGTGTGGAGCAGGAGATAAGGACATCCAAAGTGGAGTGCATCTGGAGGGATCGGGGACAGCTACAACGGAGTAGTCACTATGTATGTTGTGCCCTGGGACGTAGGGTAGCAAACATTGTGTATTATTGGAGAACTAAATGTATTGGGAAAGAAATTACTTACGTAAAATTAATAAAGTATTTTATGCAAAACAAAGAAATTATCTTACCACTCCAAAAAAAATTACCAGTACAAAATTCTCATAATTGGACCAGGGAGATAGCTCAGTAGAGTAAGTGCTTGTCTGGCAAGCGCAGGCTCCTGAGTTCAATCCCTGGTACCACAAAAACTAACTAACTAACTAAATAAATAAATAAAATAACAAAATTCTCATTATTAAGCAGGAATTTACCTGAACTTAATTGGAAATGTTTCTGAATGAATGTACACATATGTATACCATATTATATAAACATCTATAGGAATATATTTTTTGTTTACCTATGTAATATAGATAGCATAAGTGTGTAAGTTATCCAAAATAATACATCAACAAAATTATGTTTCTCATACCTGAATTAATATTTTTAAATCATTATTAATTATTAGATCATGCATGTATATATAAACATAATACATATTGTATATGCATATATGCTTCTATATGTATTTGGTAGGTTCTGGCCCTAGTATGAATTGCTGAATCATTGTGGTGGTCATCTAATGTGGCTGAAGCCCTTAAAACCACAGCCCATCTTCCCCAAGACCACCTCTCCCTTCTTCTCCAACTCAGTCCAGGGTACGATTTCCTTTCACCTTTCCCACCACCTCAGGGAAAGACCCCATTCAGCTCCTACGATATTTCTTTTTTTTTTTTTGGTGGAACCGGGGATTGAACTCAGGCCCTTGCACTTACCAGGGAAGCACTTATTCTATTGAGCCATCTCTCTGGCCCCACCTAAGATATTTCTGAACATCCCCCTTAAACTCCACCCTTGGCAAAGGCCAAAAAGCCTCAGCTTCCCTTTGTTCAACTCCAAAAAAATCCCTTCTCTTCACCAGATTCTCTCCGAGTCCTCAAGATAATAAAGCCCCTTTCCCTTTTTCCTTCTGCCTGTTTCTCTGCTATGACGCTGTTCAAACCCTATCAGTATTATGCCAATAAATGCATGTGCTCCTACAAATACACACGTATTCAAAGTCAATGCTAGCCCATTTATATTTTCAAAATCATTTCATTCAACCAGAAAAATCTCCTAGTTTGTGTTCATATGGGATTACTGGTTTATTTTCTTAATAAATAACCTAAAGATTAAAAAACACTTTGAAAGGCAGGCATAAAATATACATCACAAATCTACATTGCTGTAAGTACTAGCTCAACTTAGAAATACTAAAATATGAAAAAAGTATGCCTCTTTATTGACAGTATAAACATAGAAAGGTGTTTCTCAGCAAGGCATGCCCTACAGTAAGAAACTCTGAAGAAAATATCTGGGATATTGTAACAAGCTGTCAGGGCTAATTACTTATTATGACTCATATTAGGCTTGGACTCTACACCAACATCCCAAAGATACTAAGCCAAGCAGGAAATCATGTGTGTGTACATAGACACACACGTACACACACAAAGTAAATGCATTTATTTTTCATAAATTGTAAGCATAGAAATTACAAATTCTTCAGAGCTGAATTAATTCCAAGAAAGCCAGAAATTATTTAGTATCTATGACATGTAACATTCTATGGCAAGTAAGAGCCATACTTGAGATGTCTCAGGTATGAGACACGTGACACTCCGAAAGCACCCGGTTTCCAGAAGGCTGGTGGTTTACAACTCACTCAGGCTCCTACAACTCAAGTCCACTCACACTGCACAGCTACTTTCCCATAACATTCCATTTTGGTTCTCTGAGCCTTTTCATGTGTAACAATTCTTATTTTAAATAGAAATGTTGTGCTATACTTTACTGTTAGGCATTTTCTTTCTGATTAGTTTCTTGACCATATATATATATATATATATATATATATATATATATATAATTTATACATATTTTATTTTATTCTATATTTTATTTATACATCAGAAATTTCATCTTTCAAACTTTTTAACATCCACAAAAACATGAGATGTTACTTGAGAAATTCATTTGTGAACTGGATTATAAGTGATACTTCCACTAAAAAGAAGGTAGACACACTTGCTCCATCGGTTTTTATTGAAGGAAAAATAAATGTGTGTAGAGGGTAGAGATGGAATGAAAGGAGGAAAGGGTATGAATTACAGTGAAGATGCAGAAGAAAATTAGAAACACTTGAAAGAGTAAATCCTGGACTCTTCTTTCCTTTAGGCTCTCACCTCAGCTGAGGTCACACGGGAATTTAGTCTACTATGTTTAAGTAGAAATACATTTCATGCATTCATGCAACAAGAATGACGTCATGTCATTCAAGAAAGCGCAACGACATGTGCTAGCAGTCAGGCTATCATATTAGACCATTTTCTGCTTCTAGTAACACAGTGCCACGGGCCGGGTGAAAGGCAAAGAAAGGGCAGCTCAGGGGTGAGCTCTGGGGCCCACAGCTGCAGGGCAGTGTTTGTTAATAACCTTCTTGCTTCAGGTTCCAGAGAAGTGCAGGACATCATGTGGTGAGAGATAGGCTGTGTGTCTGTCTGTCTGTCTGCTATTCTTTTTCCACTTCTTATAAAATTGCCAAGATTTATTCCAGGGTTTTCACCACAATGACCTTATCAAATCCTAAAGCCACAGTCACATTGAGTGCTGCCCTCTTAATACCTCACAACAGAAACCAAATTTCTATCCACAAATCCTTGGGACAGACAAACAAGTGACAGCAGAAACTAAACCAAGATCAGGGCTGAAGGCTCCTGAGAGCTTTTTGGTGACAAATTTATTCTTTCATGGAGAAGAAATGGAACGATCTTTAGGCCCTTGATGTCCGGCACCATATGACTGCCTGCTGTCTGCCACACATGTCTCCCTGCACTCGCCGCAATCATGTTAGATTTGCTCCCTCCCGTCTCTAGATCTTGAGGTCTGTATATCAGCAAGGGGGTCCCCTCCTCACCTTTATCACTGGTGCCTTCAAAATAGCATCATCTCATTATGCTTTTTAGACCTTACAGGAGCTGTAGATTCTTTCCCCTGGGAGTTCTCTAAGGTCTGGATTTTAGATCCATAGACCACATTCTGCTTGTCTTGTTAAAATAGAATTGATGTTTAAAGGAATCCTTGTGGTGAAATAAACACTAAGAAGTTATGGGTAGGACCAGCGAGATTAACTGGAAAATCCTCTTCTGCGGTGCTTCCTGAGAAGTGGTGGACTCACAGCATCCTTGTTGAAATCTGTAAGAAATGCAGACTCAGGACCGACACTAACGCATCAGAATTGGGAGGCAGTGGGACAGTCGTTGAAGGGGGAGTATTTTTACACACACTTAGGTTTGCGAACCACTGCGATATTGAATCCTAATACCCTTAGTAACCAAATAATAGTTTTCATTGTTCAAAAACAGTGTCTCGCTCCTGTCAGGAAAAGAAATTTCTTGACTCTTCCCAGGCAGGATCTTTTGTCCTTTTCTATATTCATTTCTACTGCTATTTGCAGCTTCACTCCAGTCTATAAAACCATCCCAGAGGACTCCCTGTGAGCCAAGGGGGTGCATTCACAGAGTCGCGTGGGGGCACACTGCCACCGAGATGACCAGACAGACGGTCAGGTCCGCACACCAGTGTCCGAGTCTTGTCCCTGGACCGCCTATCGTTTTATAACTGACTTCTCTGTCATTTTTTTCCCAGATACCTTTATCAATGAATGTGTCCACCTTTCTCGCATATGACCAGCCCACGATAAGCTACTGTGGGGTGCATCACGAACTCCTGTCTCACAAGGCCTTTGAGACGAACGCACAGGAAGACACCCTGGAGACGCACCTGGACGCGGAGCTGGGCCTCAGCGCAATCACGGCCGCCGCGGGCCGCGTCAGTGACCACAAACAGCCGCCGGCCTGACCGCAGGCCGCCCTCGCGGCGAACTTTGTAACCTCATGGACGAGATGAGGAAGATTTGGGCCTTGTGGCTCTAAACACAAGACAAACCCCCTGTTCAAATAAACAAAAATCCGAGATTGATTCATGAAATAAAGAAGACATGAATTGTTTCAAGTCTACACTTTGTAATTAGCTAAGTTGTGCAGTATTTTTTTGACTTAAACAGAGTATGACCCTCAAAAAAGAAAAAAAATCGTTTTTTCAAAACTCATCCTACCTATGTGTAAAAACTGTACAGAGCTAATGTATTTTTCATATTGTAAAGTTTCAATTATAGAAACAACTGGTATGTACAGTACCATAATTTAATTACAGTTTACTTTACAAACTTTACACATTTCAGTTTCTAAAATTTTAAATTAACAAAAATTATTTCCGTGTCATTCTGTTTCTCGGTTTTGCAGGGACTGTTCTGTCCTCAACTCCAAAATTCTGTGCTGTGCGAATCATGCACGCTTTTTATCATGCTTACTGCATAGAATTTTATCTACTTGTTTCAGAAATAATACATTAACCAAAAAGGATTTAATTGTTCAGACTTGTAAGAGGTTCTTCAATTACACAGACAGGTTTTCTTATAAATAAAAAAAAAAAAAAAAAAAAAAAACAGTTCTCAGAGCTAACTGTTGCCTTGAATTATAGCCTAGTTTCTAAGCAGTGAAATGGAATGATAAAGAGGGGTATCTTAACAACAGATTTCCAAACGAACGATTCATTATTTCATTCTTTTGAGAAGCCCTTGTTAAGGGTGGGGAGCAGGCAAAGTGCCACTGGAAACACAGGCCGTAGCCACGGCAACAGACTTCCATACCCTGAACAGGTGCAGCTGCCAGTGACAAGGAAACACTTTTGTTACATCTTATTATGTTCAGGCTGAGGTGGGAGGAGAGCGTGGAGTAACCGTACAGCAGCGGTTTTCTCCTAATTACCCCAAAGTGGTTTACCTAAAAATAACCATCAGTGACCATGAAATGCACCTGGCTCCTAACACAACTTTCCATTTAGTCCTGGGGGGCTACATTTTGGGAACACCTCAGAGGAAAAAGTAAGGAATGGTTCCCCTTGTGGGAGACACGGATTCTCTCCTAAGGGAGAACTTCAAGGCTTGCTGCATGCAGAAGGAGAAGGGATGGAGGTTTCGCAACCCCGTAGGCTGCAAAGATGCTCCGCAGCTTTCTAAAGCCATCCACAAGGGAATTCAGCTCCAAACTGTCCGAAAAGCAATTCAGAGTAATTGATCCCAATCCAGATCATATATTGATTATGTGACTGTATATAAAGTTAAATCAAGTCTAATTAAGAAAACCTGACTTTCAATCAATTTGTTTCTGTTGTTTACCTGACCAGGTTATTGTTTCAAAATATATTGTTATTTTTATCTATGGTAATCACACATTCCTTTCGGTTCTTGAGGACTTTTTAAATATAAAAATGCAAGTTTTGATTACTGTTGCACTTGAACAAATGCTTTTACGTTGTTATTTTATATTCATAACATCAAAAATAGAACAGACTATATCTAACAGAGGTCAGATACAATCAAAGCAAAGAAGAATATAGTGAAAAACAATGTCAAACAATTCCATTGTCTCTTTCAAAGAAGTTCTGTCTATAGATAGCTAGTCTTATTCAGGTGTATTGCAGAAAGCTGAAGATCAACTCCCAGGAAATGAGCTGAAAAGCTATGGAGGAAATTTCTCTTGAAAATGTGCTCAGGAAGAGAAACAGGACACAAAGTATCGGAAAAAGCAACCACCACACCAAGTGCTTGCCTTCCAAATGCAACAGCCCATATTTTGTAAAATAGTTTCACAAAGTATTGGTTATTCAAAATTTTTTGTTATTTTAAGTCTAATTTTAATCCTTATTTTTAAAAATTTCTATATTATATTATTCAGAGTATTCTTAATCCCTGACATTTTTGGTTTTTTTTGATACTGGGGATTGAACTCAGGACCCTGCGCTTGCCAGGCAAGCGCTTATTCTACTGAGCGATCTCCCCAGACCCTACTCCCTTACAATGAGGCTTGGATTTGCACAAAATTTATAGAGTCATAAATCTATTATTATTTCTGGATCTGGAACCTAATACAAAATTTTATTGATTTTGTAAAGTAACATGTCATTTGCAATTTGCTCCACTAGAAGCTATCCTTGCAAAGACTTTAAAGGAGAAATTCATGTAAGTATTTTAAACCCATTTCTAGACACTTTCAAGTTGACAAATGATATTTAGAGATTTTGAAGTTCCAGAGAACTTCACAAATACATGTCCCCTTGATTGCCTCAGGCAAAGCACTTTTTCTGACAGGGTCTTGCTCTATAGCCTGACTGGCTCGATCTCGGGGAGACCCTCCTGCCTCAGCCTCCCAAAGGCTGAGATTGCAGCTGAGCACTTTTGTCCCTGGCTGCAGCGACACTGAAGTGCACGAGAGACTGCAGCTGCATGCAGAAGCCGTCGCCTTGGAGCTGCGGCTGTGAGCCTCTGAGTCCTAAGCTGCAGCCAGGCAAGCAGCATAAAAGAAATTTGACCTTTCTCATCTTGGAAATTGGGCCAAGGATCTTTAAATGAAAAATTCCACATTATTTGCTTATTTTTTATTCTGCCACATAGGGGCAAGAAGCAGGGCAAGGTGGTGGTGCTGAAAACCAGAGGAGGAGGGTCTCGGCTCTGCATCCCGCAGTAGCATTTTACACAAGCTTATGCTGCAAGCTTTTATTTCTAACCTCTTCCCAACATTCTATGTCTTCTCTCCCCCCTTTCCACAAACCAGCCTCTATTTACATTCCTCTCTATTACTCACCCAGACCACTGAAAAACTGTTTACCTGTTTTGGGAGCTAAAAAGGGAGCAGCAGGGTCAGGGTGACAGCTCAGCGGCACAGCAGCTACAAGGTCCTCCGCTCAATTCCTGGTACGAAAAAAAATGGAGCACGAGACCCAGTGTGGTTGCAGCACCACGGAGCTGCAGCAAACAGGGAATCCGTGGGCGCTGCGGCTCACACCTGTAGTTGTCCCACTTTGCCCACAACCATCCACCAAGGTGCATTAAGCAAAAGGAGTCCAGCCTCACTCAGGAAGACGGAGCTGAGCACTCATGCATCTGAACCACTCTGAAAATGCAGAGGCTATTAGCAGTGTAACTATCCTGAAAGCTTTCTATGTCCGGTTAGAGCCAGAGAGCCTCCAAAGACACTGAATACAACAAAATTTTAAAGTGCTTGACACGCCATTTAGAAATCTCTAATTTTACTCAGCCCCCTCTGTCTGTGTGCTGTGTCAGCTAACACGCCACATGTTACCCTGCGTTCTCACATTACAATTATTTGTTCAAAAAGTACAGTAAGTCATATATTTCTTAACATACAAGATTATATATACATGCGCAAACACCACCAGCATATGGATGTGGGTGAACGCCAAGGTATGGACAAAAAATTAGAAAGAAAAAGAAAAGAAACCAAAGTCCCTAAATTAAGAGTCACAAGTAGTTGTAAAAGAGACCCCAGAGGTGAGGCGAAACACATGCTCAGGGGAACATGCGCGCAGCTCAGCCCTGGTGGGAAGACACATATAAATTTATTTTTTGCTTTTGGCAAGATTTTTGGAACCATAAATATATGATAACAATTTTTCTCAATTCTCCTTCCAATCAAAATGAATTCTAACTTGTTAAAACTGATAAAGGCTTTTCTGAACCTAAAAAGCACAAAACTATAAAGATTTTTTTTTTTTTTTTTTTTTGTGGAACCAGGGATTGAACTCAGGTCCCTTGTGCTTGCCAGGAAAGCACTTATTCCACTGAGCCATCTCCCCAGCCCCTTAAAGATTTTTAATATAGATTAAAGAAGAAAAGACAGCTTTCCCAAATTTAACACTCACAACAAATGATGTAACACAATTTGAACTCAGATCTCATTCTATAAGCTTCATAAAAATAGAAAAATCTTTTGGCAAAAAATACTTTTTAAGATAAAACCACCATTTAAGAGAATAAAAATACAGTTGGTTGTGAGTGTTCCTGATTGGAATATATATCATCTTTCAAACTAAAGATTCAAAATAAGTGTTTAAAATCATAGATTATGAGAAGAGACACATGATGTAGCCTGGCAACCTGTCACCTGCTGCAGTAGCCGGAATCTGTGCTTTGAAATTCTAACATGATGGGAAGACTGCAGTAGCAGATATTCTGAATTGTGCTTCATTTTACCAAGAACTTCAACGGGGAAGAAATGCCTGAAGATTTAAAAGTCAACACCAAAGCGTGGAGTGTTGTTAAAGGCTTCCCATGGCTTATATTAGGTTTCCTTGTGGGATAGAAGGCAGATCATATTTTATTTTTAAACTTAACATGAAATTCACATGTAAAACTTTGACAGTCAGTTATTCCCTTTTGTGTGAAGGGCAGCGATCTCCAGCGAGCCGAGTGCCTGGGCTGTCCAGAAGCTCAGGGCACTCCTTTTGTCCTCCCTCACAGAGATTCAAAAGGCATTGCTTTTTCTGTGGTGTTTGTCTCCCTGAACAGCTGATAAAAAATTCTGTGTAAATCAAATATTTCAAATATACCAAGAGAACTTGTCATAAAGATCTTGAAGCAAAAGCTTGTTGTTTTCTAATCTAAAACCTAACTGACCACCAATTTAACTTTTTTTTTTCTTCTTTTTGTGGAACCTGGGATTGAACTCAGATCCTTGCGATTGCCAGTCAAGCGCTTATTCTACTGAGCCATTTCCCCGACCCCCAATTTAACTTTAGTGAATGGATTTCACAGGCCTGAAGTCTCACTGAGCAGTAGATGGATCAGGAAACACTACACTGCCACCCTTGCCTCAGACTGCATGGCAGGAAGGGCTGGCAGCGGGCCTGGAGCTGGTCTGCATAGGGATCAGCCTGCATTAGCTCCATTTATTGGATTTGTCTGGATTAACGTGACAATCATATTAAAATGACATGGGCAGATAAAGGTCGCAGTTCTCATATTTACTTGTTTAAACTTTTTCCACCTGTCATGTCTTCCAAGCTACTGCCGAGAGGCTGAGATGAACCTAAATCTTCACGTAAGTTTTCCACAATTCAGCTACTCACAATTCTTAAATATTCTTTTCTTCCATTTATGCCTTCAGAAGCTTTTTCAAACCACAGGGCTGTGTCTCTTATTCTTTCCTGAGCCTGCCTGTCAATGTCATTGAGAAATTGTGTCAGTGCCTTAGCACACTGTCCAAACACGTAGCACTGCATGTAACACATACTTTTCCTTCACAATACATGCAAATTTCATGAGTCATTAAAATACCCTGTATGTCACTTCTACTAAAAATGACCACTACTATAACTATAAAACAAGGTTATAAATTTAAAACAATT